AAGGATAGAGATCTGCTGCAGTACCAGTCACAGATACTAGAGCTACAGTATCAGCACCAGCTGCTACAGCTCCAGTGCCACCTCCAGCAGCCACTCCACCAGCTCCAGCTACATCAACAGAAGCTTTTGTCCTTGGAGCCATCTCTACACCACCTCCCGAAGACCAAGCCTGAGAGTCGTTTAGCACTATGCATTTTTTGAACTTTTTGGTAACTTGTTGCCAAAGGGGGAGAAAATGTATAGATCATAGGCTTCGAGAGAGAGTGTTGCTTTTTATCTTGTTTTTGGTTGAACTTCTTGATTGTGTGCTTGTGAGATACTTGTTTACTTGTTCGATCATGTGTTTGATCATACTACCCTTAATGCTTGTTGGATGATATTATCTCTTATATCCTTATATGATCAATTCACTTGCTTGGTGATGAGTGCATGCTTTTAATTTATATCATTTTGAGCACTCCACCAAGATGTATGTGACATGGAAGAGTGACCCATGATCCTAACACATTGTGCATTTGCAGTCCAAAACAAATTTTAAATAATGCACAAATTTAGGGGGAGCTCTTGATTATCACATACTTCTCAAAGCGATGATGTTTTTCAATCTTATTATCATTTGTCGAAGCTTTGATCTATATGTTGTCATCAATTACCAAAAAGGGGGAGATTGAAAGTGCAACTATCCCTGGGTGGTTTTGGTAATTCCTAACAACATATAGCTCATTGAGCTAATGCTATTTCAAGATAAATATTTCAGGAAAGCTCAATGTTTGGCATGGCATGGATGAGAAATGTGGACCCCTCAAAATGCTAAGGACAAAAGGATTGGCTCAAGCTCAAAGCACAAGACTCTACATTTTTCATTTTAGTGATCCAAGATCACATTGAGTCCATAGGAAAAGTCAATACTATCAAGAGGGGGTGAGGTGTTGCTTAATGAGTTTCTTACTCAAAGTGCTTAGTGATATGCTCCAAAAACCCGCAACTACTTTCTCACATCCACATATGTCCCAAACCAAAAGTCAAACTCGGCCCCACCGAAACTTTCTATCCGGCGCCACCGAGTTCAGTTGACATAGCCACTGCCAGAAACCCTAGTCTTTTCGGTCTCACCGATAGGGATCTCGATCTCACCGAGATGGGATTGTAATCTCTCTATTTCCCTTCATAACGTTTCGGTCAAACCGAGATGAGCGATCGGTCTCACCGAGATTGCAATGCAAACTCTCTGTTTCCTTTTCGTAACATTTCGGTCCAACCGAGATGAGTGAATCGGTCCCACCGAGTTTGCCTGGCCAACTCTCTGTTTGTCTATTACCAAAATTGGTCTCAGTGAGTTTGTGTGATCGGTCTCACCGAGATTACGTTATGCCCTAACTCTAACGATATCGGTCCCACCGAGTTGACATCTCGGTCCCATCGAAATGCCTAACTGTCACATTATGAACTAAATCGGTCTGACCGAGTTTCACAATTCGGTCCCACCGAGTTTGGTAAATTATGTGTAACGGTTAGATTTTGTGTGGAGGCTATATATACTAGGGATGGCAATGGGTACCCATTACCCGCGTATCCTGTGGGTAAAAACCCTATTAGGGTAAGGATATGGGACAAAAAATTACCCATGGATACTTAAATGGGAAAATATCATACCCATCGGGTAGAGAGGGTACGGGTATGGGATCGTATAACCCATGCCCACATACCCATGTACCCATCTAAAATGTTGACAGGTGAGTTTCCGTTAATATCCCAATGTATTCATTTCCCCTCCTAATTAGGCTAGGGAAAAACTCTAATGTGTATTCAAATTATCTCTATAATTAATCATGATTTGGTGAACTTAAAGTGTATGCATATATATATATATATATATATATATGTGTGTGTGTGTGTGTGTGTGTGTGTGTGTGTGTGTGTGTGTTGTTATTTATGATTATGTGTTGTTGTTTAACATTTTTATATGTCACTTTATAGGCAAGTATTTTTGTTTATGAGAATATGTTGTTGTTACAATATGTTGTTGTACATTGTTGTTTAAAATGTGTTGCTATTAAAATTTATGATTATATGTTGCTTTTTACAACTATTTTCTACTCAATTGATGTGTTGTAAACGCGGGTATTTTTACCTGCAGGTACCCATATACCCTGTCAGGTGACGGGTATGGGAAAAAATTGTACCCTTGACGGGTATGGGTATGGGTGATGGGTAAACTCAGGGCGGACGGGTAAGGGTATGGGGTAGCTCCACCCGTACCCATACCCTGCGGGTGCCATCCCTAATATATACCCCTCCACCCACTCTTCATTCATGGAGAGAGCCATCAGAACATGCCTACACTTCCAACATACATTTTCTGAGAGAGAACCACCTACACTTGTGTTGAGGTCAAGATATTCCATTCCAACCACATAAATCTTGATCTCTAGCCTTCCCCAAGTTGCTTTCCTCTCAAATCATCTTTCCACCAAATCCAATCCTATGAGAGAGAGTTGAGTGTTGGGGAGACTATCATTTGAAGCACAAGAGCAAGGATTTCATCATCAACACACCATTTGTTACCTCTTGGAGAGTGGTGTCTCCTAGATTGGCTAGGTGTCACTTGGGAGCCTCCGTCAAGATTGTGGAGTTGAACCAAGGAGTTTGTAAGGGCAAGGAGATCGCCTACTTCGTGAAGATGTACCCGAGTGAGGCAAGTCCTTCGTGGGCGACGACCATGGTGGGATAGACAAGGTTGCTTCTTTGTGGACCCTTCGTGGGTGGAGCCCTCCGTGGACTCGTGCAACCGTTACCCTTCGTGGATTGAAGTCTCCATCAACGTGGATGTACGATAGCACCACCTATCGGAACCACGGATAAAAAAATCTCCGTTTCAACATTGCGTTTGCTTCCTCAAACTCCTCCCTTTACCTTCATATGCAATTGTTTTACATTCCGCTACTATACTCTTAGAATTGCATGTGTAGGTTGATTGCTTGACTTGTGCTAAGTTGCTAAAATCTGTCAAGAACTAAAATTGGGAAAAGGCTAGATTTTATTTGGTCAAGTAGTCTAATCACCCCCTCTAGACATACTTTCGATCCTACACTTCTCGGACTCCAGGGCCAGACGCCAGGGTTCCCGGCGTCTGGACCAAGACGCCAGGGACCCTGGCGTCTGGCCCCTAAACTCCGCAAAACTTCCTTTTGCGCTTTTTAAAAACCTTGTGGGCTTTCCCCTTTGGCCCAAATAAAGTGTTCTCGTACCCAAACATTACGGGAAACATCCGGAACCCCTTCCAGTGAATTCCGGAACCCTTCCGGAGACCAAACACTATTATCCCATATATCAAACTTTATCTCCTGACCATTCCAGAGTTCCTTGTCATGTCCATGATCTCATACGGGACTCCGAACAACATTCGGTTACCAACATACATAACTTATATAATATTATATCGTTAACGAACGTTTAAGCGTGCGAACCCTACGAGTTCGAGAACTACGTACACATGACCGAGACACTTCTCTGGTCAATAACCAATAACGGAACCTGGATGCCCATATTGGCTCCTACATATTCTACGAAGATCTTTATCGGTCAAACCTCATAACAACATACGTTGTTCCCTTTGTCATCGGTATGTTACTTGCCCGAAATTCGATCGTCGGTATCTCAATACCTAGTTCAATCTCGTTACCAGTAAGTCTCTTTACTCGTTCCATAATGCATCATCCCGGAACTAACTCATTAGTCACATTGCTTGCAAGGCTTATAGTGATGTGCATTACTGAGAGGGCCCAGAGATACCTCTCCGACATTCGGAGTGACAAATCCCAGTCTCGATCTATGCCAACTCAACAAACACCATCGGAGACACCTGTAGAGCACCTTTATAATCACCCAGTTACGTTGTGACGTCTGGTAGCACACAAAGTGTTCCTCCGGTATTCGGGAGTTGCATAATCTCATAGTCATAGGAACATGTATAAGTCATGAAGAAAGCAATAGCAACATACTAAACGATCAAGTGCTAAGCTAACGGAATGGGTCAAGTCAATCACATCATTCTCTAATGATGTGATCCCGTTAATCAAATAACAACTCATGTCTATGGCTAGGAAACTTAACCATCTTTGATTCAACGAGCTAGTCAAGTAGAGGCATACTAGTGACACTCTGTTTGTCTATGTATTCATACATTTACTAAGTTTCCGGTTAATACAATTCTAGCATGAATAATAAACATTTATCATGATATAAGGAAATATAAATAACAACTTTATTATTGCCTCTAGGGCATATTTCCTTCATTGGTTTCATCTACGGTGGTGGTGTGGTGGTTTTGGAGGTGATGGTGCTTCGGCCAATAGAGTTGATATTGATGCTTCGACCATTGAACATGGTGGTGTTTCCGGGAAGCAAAGTGATCATTCGCCGGTTAAGAAATTGATGAAGATGGTGCTATGGCCGGTGGTGGTAGCGACTATCTTGGCAACAACGATGTTGCTCGATTTGATCATGGCCAGTGGTGGTTTGATCATGTTTTTTTTTTCAATTATGCATCCGTATGGAAAACTTGCTACCTCTTATACCGCGCGTGATTTTAGATGTGAATTATTGCGGCATGAATATCTTTTATACGAACTCTTACTTCATTTTGCGCATTTGTATGAATTTCTAGTTAACGTCAACATTCGCTCGCGAAATTACGAGTTTGCAGAATCTAGTTTACACCAAAGCGCTTAAAATACCGAATAAAAGTTTTACGTGTGGCCTCAAATCGGATTTACAGGCAAGAATATGCGGGATCTTGCTAGAGTTGCCCTGGTTGGGTTGTTGCCGGCCGGCCTTGCTTCCATCCACGGCGCGGCGCAGCAGGGGGCGGTTGTTGTCGACAGAGTGCCGCGGTGAACCGGGAAAAGCCCTGGGAAAAAGGTGCTCCGCCAGCGTGAACTCAAAAACTTACCGCGTGGATCCCATTCCCAGCTGCTGCCGCCGCTGCCAACAGATCGGTAATGGGTGGGGAGGGAATCAAACCAGTCGCAGTCGCGGCCGCAGTCAAGCAAAGGGACACACACGAAGCTGCCTCCCTGCCGCGCCGCGCCGCGCCGTGCGAGCGAGATCTGAGGGCCGCGCGGAAGGAGAAGGGAGACCCGTCCCCGCGAGATCCCGTCGGGCGCCCTCCCCTCCTCCCCGCCGACGGGGCCGGCGCGGCGATGGTGCGGCCGGCGGGCCTCCTCGACCCGGCGACGAGGCGGCGCCCGTTCCTCGACCAGCGCCGCCCGTCCTTCCGGCGCCGCTGGCAGCAGCGCCCGCTCTGGGCGCGCCTCCTGCTCTCGCTCCTCCTCGCCCTCGCCTGCGCGCTCCTCCTCCTCGGCCTCGCCGGCTCCCCCGACCCCTCCTCCCCGCCCGCCACCGACTCCTCCTCCTCCTCCGGATCCGCCGACGCCGACGCCGATGCCGTCTCCTCCCCTCTCCTCCGCCAGGTAACAATAATCATACAACCGATTAAGCCGCACCGCATCTGCCGTTCCGCATTTCGTAAATCGTATTGCCTCGTCTGGCTCGGAACCATCAGATTCTACTGGGTGTTAAGTCATTATAACTGCTGAATTTGCTAGTTCTGTAGTGGTGCTACTTGAGCAGTACTACTCTACACGCTAACTGTTTGTTTAGAGAACATCAATCATGAATGCTGGACTAGCGTCTGAATGTCCTGAACTTTTGATGCGCAGAGATCTTACCTCGAGGTCATCACGGACACGCACAACATGACCGACGAAATGCTGAACGCTCACTCGCTTTCCCGCCAGCTCATGGACCAGATTTCCCTCGCAAAGACCTACATCACGGTCGCGAAAGAAGCCAGCAACCTGCAGTTCGTGGCGGAGCTTGGTGCGCTGGTGCGGCGGGAGCAGAGCATCCTCGCGCGTGCTGCGGCCCATGGTGGAATGGTAGTCAAGGAGGACGCGGAGAAGGCGATCAGGGACATGGCCGTGCTGTTCTATCAGGCTCAGCAGTTCCGGTACGACAGTGCGGTCACCATCTTGAAGCTGAAGGGCCAGATTCTGTCCCTGGAAGAGAAGTCGAAGGCCGAGGCAGACAAGAGCACAAAGTATGGCCAGATTGCTGCTGAGGAGCTCCCAAAGGGGCTTTATTGCCTTGGTGTGCGGTTAACCATGGAATGGTTCAAGAGTGCCGAGCTTCAGAGGAAGTTCTTGGATAGGAGCCCAGCAGTGCAGAGCAATCTGAGGGATAACAGCCTCTATCATTACTGTGTTTTCTCGGACAACATCATCGCTGTATCTGTTGTCGTCAACTCTACAACTCTGAATTCAAAGCACCCTGAAAAGATTGTTTTCCATTTGGTGACCGATGAGGTGAACTATGACCCAATGAGGGCGTGGTTTGCCCTGAATGACTACAGAGGGGCCATTGTGGAGATACAAAAGGTGGAGGACTTCACCTGGCTAAATGCTTCGTATGTTCCTGTCCTTAAACAGCTCCAGGATGCTGCTACACAGAATTTCTACTTCTCTGGAAGTGGTAATCGCGGAACACCAATCAAGTTCAGAAATCCAAAGTACTTATCAATGCTCAACCACCTGAGGTTTTACATCCCAGAGATTTACCCAGAACTGCACAAGGTGGTATTTCTTGATGATGACATTGTTGTTCAGAAGGACCTATCAGATTTGTTTACAATCAACCTCAACGGTAACGTTATGGGGGCAGTTGAGACTTGCATGGAGACGTTCCACAGATTTCATAAGTATCTCAATCATTCTCATCCTCTGATTCGTGCTCATTTTGATCCTGATGCTTGTGGCTGGGCGTTTGGTATGAATGTGCTTGATCTTGTTGAATGGAGGAACAAGAATGTCACAGGTATATATCATTATTGGCAGGAACGCAATGCTGATCATACCCTTTGGAAGCTTGGATCTTTACCACCTGGCCTTCTTGCTTTCTATGGATTGGTTGAAGCACTGGACCCAAAATGGCATGTCTTGGGGCTGGGCTACACAACTGTCGATCCTGATACTATTAAGGAAGGTGCAGTATTGCATTACAATGGAAACTTGAAGCCATGGCTGAAAATTGGGATGGAGAAGTACAAGGGCTTCTGGGACAACTATGTGGATTATTCACACCCTCTGCTTCAACGGTGCTTCATGCGCTGATTAATGTGTATCAATATTAGAACTTTTTGTGACCTTCTGATGGACATGTTTCAAATGCATAGCTTGAACAGGCATACACGAACATTCTTGTGAATTTGATAGGCTTCGTTCACAAGTTACACCCTCAGATTAAACATGGACAGTTGTTTATGCTGGCATGTGTAGTTGATAAGGTACATTGACTACAGATATGACCGGCCACACAGGTAATAGCAGAAGAGCTAAGATTGGCATTCAGTAGGCTGCTACTTGAACAGCATCGATTACATGGCTTCATAACTTGCAACCACCAATGTAATTTTTTCCATTTTGATTTTTTGGTGAGACTGGAGGAAGGGCATAATTGTAGAATTGATTTAAATTATTGAGGTGCTACAACAAGTTTTGAGATACATATTTATTGGATATTCAGACAGGTCAACCTTTTTTTGTCTGGTTATTTATACATCTTCAGAAGAAGAATTATCTTATATCATTTCTAGATTCACTGATTCAGAAGTTAATTTCTATTCATAGTTGCTCAATTTTGTTTGTACCTTTTCTGCGTGAGGCCAATAAAGCTTATTCAGAGGGTGCAGATTTGTGCCTGCTGTGAGAAAATTGTTTGCTGGTAATTTGTTTCATATATCTGTTGTACTTGTATGCTTGGCAAACATGTCTTTGGCACATGTGCTTGTAGTAATAATTGTACATAATATTCTTATGTTGTAACCTCAGAGAAATTTATCATTGAAAGAACTTGTGGAAGCTACCATGCAGCTAGGTGTTCACAGGACGTAAAGTGTAACATGGCCTTACTACTAGGTTCACTGAAGAATCAATCTTCAGTATTCAGGAAATAAATAATTATTATGCTGCCATCAGCTACAAACTGTTAACTAATTATACAAACTGTGTAGCTATATTATTTCCCATTGTTCTCTTCAGAGCTATTCAGCATATGCCAGTGATCTAGGTTTTGCCTCTTGTGATATGCTTTTGCAAATTTTCCTTTCTATACCTTCTATCATTGTATTGCAGAGATTCTTTAAATCCAAACAGTTCTTTATGGATTCGCTGTGGCATCTACCTCCCTTTGATGACTTCTCCATCAACATTGCTGGCAGCAACATCGGTCCTCTTCCTCCTTTTGGATCTAGACTTCCTCTTCCTACGCCTCTTGCTTGTTTCTTTTGATTCCCTGTTATTTGTGGACAAGCTGAGGTTTGCATCTGCAGGGCTGGCAACAGGTTCCACGACTTGCATTATCTCTTGGTTGGCTTCAGCCAAGCTGTCTTTTGAGATCTTCATCTCGCCATCAGGGTTGATTTTCTTCTCTGGTTCGCTAGCAACTTCTTTTCCATCTTCCTGCTCAAGCAGCTTACTCTCTGTGCTGTGGTCGCCTTGGGGGTCCTCCAATTGTTTTTTCCCATCTAGTTCTTCTTTGCTGATTTCTTGACTGTCTTTTGAGATCTTGATCTCACCATCAGGGCTGATTTCCTTCTCTGCTTCTCTAGCAACTTCATTGCCATCTTCCTTCTCAAGCAGCTTACTCTCTTTGCTGTGGTAGCTGACCTCGCCTTGGGGGTCCTCCAATTGTTTTTTCCCATCGAGTTCTTCTTTGCTGATTTCTTGACTGTCTTTTGAGATCTTCATCTCACCATCAGGGTTCATTTCCTTCTCTGGTTCTCTAGCAACTTCTTTGCCGTCTTCCTTCTCAAGCAGCTTACTCTCTCTGCTGTGGTAGCTGACTTCGCCTTGGGTGTCCTCCAATTGTTTTCTCCCATCTACTTCTTCTTTGCTGATTTCTTGACTGTCTGCCGATTGACGAAGTTCAGATTCCTCTGAATGCGTTCCCTTTGGAGGGGGGTCGTCTGAACTTTGATTGGCATCGTCTGTTTTCTCTTGTAAGGCATCATCTTCGAAGTTAGTTGTGAACTTTACAAACTGACCTTCTGATGAACCATCTTCTTGGTGGTTGCTCTCGGATGCGGTGGTGTTGTAGGATTGCAGTTCTTCTGCTTGATCAGGTGTGGAACCACTGGAGTTTTCTTTTTCCTCACCTATGACAGTGTCAGGAGTTACAACATCTTCGTTGTTTGTGCCCACTACAGTTCTCTCATCTTGGTGGTTGCTCTCTGATGCAGTGGTGTCGTCGGAATGCAGTTCTTCTCCTGTAGCAGGCATGGAATCACTGGAATTTATTTTTTCCTCAGGTATCACAGCATCAGGATTTACATCTTTGTTGTTTGTGCTCTCTAAAATTCTCTCGTCTTGGTGGTTGCTCTCTGATGCAGTGGTGTTATAGGAATGATCTTCTGTTGGAGCAGGTATGGTATCACCAGAGCTTGCAGAATTCTCGGGTGCCACAGTGTCAGAAGTTGCATCTTCATTGTTTGTGGCTAACACAGCATTGCCGCTGAACTTGGTCTTGATCTCTTCAAGCTCAGCTTCCTTTTGTTGCAGGAGTTCTTTTATAGAAGACATCTGGTCAGGCCCTGAAGCAGCTACAATCTCTTTCATTTGATTGATATGGCTCTCTTTCTCCACAAGAGCTGCCTCCAGTTCTTTCTGGGTGTTGGTAAGATAGGTGGTGGTTGTTTCTGAATTCATGACCTTGTTCTTCAGTTCTGTCCTCTCAATACTCAGGATAGACGTTTTAGCTTCCAGTTCATCCACTTTTCTCCTCATCTCTTTACTAATTCCCTTTTCATTCTGGCCAAATGAAATAGCAATATTTGGTTAATGAGATATCATTTACTTTGAAAAACAGGTTTGTGAACAAACCAAATAAAATATACTCCCTCCGTCCCAAAATAAGTGTCTCAACTTTGTACTAGCTCTAGTACAAATTTGTACTAAGCTCAAGACACTTATTTTAGGACGGAGGGAGTATCTATAAAGCACACTAATGGAATAGTCAGATAATTTAAGCTCTGCATGTGGTAGTGCTACAAGAATATCATTGCCATAGCTATCCTTAGGTTGTAAATCAAAAATATGTTCAGTGATATTATATGTTTATATTTTGATGTGATATTTCGATATGATATTTCCAGCCCAAGATTTCTGTGTTCGTATCGAATGGAATTCTTTTACGATATTGAATGCTATGAATGCATGATTCCATATTTGACATTATGCTCATTGTTGGACTATAGATCTTTTGTGAGTTTATTAGTGCAGTTGTGTTCTATCTGTACTTCTTTAATTGGTGCTATGAGCATTTGCACAAGCCACATGCCAAGCCTGTATGCCCTATGGGGAGGCTGGGATTACTTTTGGTACTTGTAATCTTTGACCATAATGTTGATTGAAAATCGAGGTTAGAATCTTTCAGCTACAGCCTGCATGATTGCTCATGTAAGACTCTTTGATCCACTGAAGATAAGAAGATATTCATAGCCTGCCCAGGAATATTTATTATTTGGAACTGCTAATATTGGCACCTGAGGATTTTTTGCTCGAGGTCCTAGGGCTACATTTATGTGACGTTATTCAGTGGATAAGAGGACTAAACTCAGCTTACTGGTTAGAGGCGTAGAGCACTTCAGACTTCAGGTGATAAATCACCAAAGTAGGGCAATCATAATCTACTGGCAGCAGTGCAAAGAGATGCAAGCACAGAGAAGTAGCAAAACAATTCTGATGCATGACAAACCGTATCCATACCTCAAGGCGGACTTGGAGGGACATGAGCTGCTGCTCGCGTTCCTGGAGGAGGACGGAGAGGAGGCGCCGCTCCCTCATCTTGTGCAGCACGCTGACGCTCAGCGTGGCGGCACCGACGGCCAGCAGCAGGAGCAGCAGGTAGGGGAGCCTTTTGTAGTTGTTGCTGCCCATTGTGTGGCCTCTTGATCTGTACTTACTACCTCCATCCATGTCCATTTTGTGTGCAGTGCACCCTCTCACTAGCATCCTCCCAGGATCTCCAGCCATTGCTCTGTTTATTGCGCACCGGGACGACATCTGTGGCCGCAGTGTGAAGAAACTTGGCCTTCTTTTCGGTTGCTTGTATTCTGGAAAGGAAAAGCTACTTGCTTAGGAATGCAGGATGCTTCTCTTGCCTCAAGGTGAGGCACATGCTCTTAGGGGTGTGAGGTTTGTCTCTCTCTTTGACTTTTGCTTAGCAGTAACTATGTTGCTTGCATTAGCATCTGCTCTCATGATGAAGATATCTTTGATCAGAAGTCATACGCACGGCACACGGTGTTTACGCTGAGTTTTATACTTCTATTTGCACAAATAGGTACATTCATCTCTTAAGAGAAAGCTGCGAAACTAACCATAATGACAAAAGAATAGACAAAGATACTTATCTTTGACCAGGAAAATCAAGTAATTTATGACCAGAAATCGACTCACTACAAGAATCTTCATGAGAAGTAACAACTTTTTCTCTGAAGTGTTCATGAGCAGACTCTACAAACTGATCTGGACTATTAAGTGACAAGATCTGTAATAATAAAAACATAAAAAGGAATCCTCCCAGATGAAGTGCTGTGGCGGCCATCTGTCTCTTCTTGATTGGCACACTCATACAACAGGTACATTAATTCCAAAGCATTTCTAACTAATCTGTAATGAACTGGCAAGTCGAAAGGCCGAAGCTATCCAACATGAATGATGGGCTTGAAGTTACTATGCCAATCAATCGGTGCAGCCTGTTGAATTCTTCACATCGTTGAAAAATCTTTGTTATTTGAAATCACTCGTCGGTTCAACAAAATTAATTTTATGAGAATGATGGTTCCTGCATTAAGTAAAGAATTCCCCATGAGTTAGCACTCTCAGATTTGATAGCGTCGACCGAAAGCAAATTATGAAGATTACCTGATGATTCCCGTCAATCAACAAGTACTCACTAATCAGTCGTAGTTAACGAAGAGCCTACCCATCCTAGAAATGGGAAGTATTCTGGTAACAAATAGCTACATGACCATGAGAAACTTCACCCAGGACAAGAGTCCACTGTCCAATGTGTTCCTCCCTGCATCGATACATTTCAAGGAGAAGAGCTCTCAGTTGAAGAGAGGGGAAGGCGCACTTGATGGCCCAGGCTCATGGAGCATTTAAGGTTAAACTTAAGGCAACCTGCACAGTTTCATGGCATGGAACCCTTGAAAAGTGGTTGAATTCTATAGCCCTTGGCTGACATGATCTTCACTAGAAACGGCCTCTCCAACAATTTGCGGAGCAAGAACCAAGCCTTGAAACAGTGCTCGCATAACATGGTCAGGTGCTGACCTATACTCCACCCCAAGGCCATGTCCAAATTGACGAGCTGCAACTGTGGCAACTTAACCACCACAAGGCACAATGGTACTGCCGGGGTTCTTTATCTAGCTACTGGTAATCAGATCTTCTCCCTGCCAGGTAAATGCCCAATTAGGTAAAACCTCTCTGTCATTCCTATGAATATATGATGATGACCATCATGAACATACCACCATTGGAGGCTCTGATGTCTCAACGAATTCACCATAGCGGTTGTCAACCATGACCTTGCATCTAAAAGAAGATCCAAACCATGAACAATGTCGGAAAACACGTGAGTTTACTAGGTATGCAATATACTTGCTCCAAAATTCAGAATATAATCTTGCCTTGATCAACTCGATGGCTCTACGGTAACTGCACAACCTCTGTATGAGCGTGCATCCAGTCTCCGGTCCGACGGCATGCGCATCCCAGTCAAGGCCACCATCTGATTACCAGTAGTACATCCCAGTCTCCAGTCCGACAGCATGCGAGGTACAACTGAACCCACATCAGCAACCCATCTAAAGCACCAAGTAGTGGGTGGCTGGGAAGGGGAGAAATCGACTCACCGGCTTGGCTAGCTCTGGATGTCAGACGGTTATCCAAGATGAGGCACAACTTGCACCTGCTGCCCCGTATTCGACCTGGTTGCCTGTCCTCTAGTTCTGAGATTAAGATGGTCGAAAATGTAGTCTTAGTATTCCTGACAGCAAACTTTTTACTTGACGAGATTTACAAAGGTGAAATCATGCAGCTGCTACATGCAAACTGGCATGTGCTGTTTAAAAAAATAGGTGCTGTCTAATATTAGGGTGAACAAAAGCTAACAATACTGCAAATGAAATTAACAGTTGTGACTACGAAAAAAACATGCCGTGTAATAGTTGCATGTGCAAACGAAGAAAGCATGGGAATGTACTAAATGTGTGCAATGCAAATTAAATCAAGCACTCATGTGGCTTTCATATACTCTGAATGAGGGGATGAACTGAGGAGCAGAAGTTGATTTTGCATACCCTCACCTGTAGTTATCGACTTGAAATACTTGTGGCACCCTCATGCAGTTCGTTTTACAACGCCTTGGATAGCCTACTTCTTCGGTTGCCTACTTCTGAAATGACAGCAGTAAATCACGAGATTTCAGAAACAAGCTAGGTGTCAAAAAGTGAGTGTTACTTACCTCAACAGATAAACAAGGGTTTGCTTCTTTTAATTTCTCGGCTTGCTCTTTTATCTCACGACTGTATCAGTGCATGGGAAGAGAAGGCGTACTTGATGGCCCAGGCTCTCAACCTTAAACTTAGTGCTTATCAGAGTCTGTTGTGCATTTTAGTACAAGCAACTGACCTGATAGAAAACATCATATGGATCTCTTAAGGGCACATCACACGATAGCTCACTTGTGCTTCCATCCGTGAATGCCCCGTCAGCAAAAATGATCTGACTCAAGTGAGCGGTCTAGTCAGTCTTGTATCAAAGCAAAAAGGGAAACTATGCAGATAACAGAACATAGCAAAAAAAAAAAAGTCTTTGAGACAATTTCATGTTAAACTGAAGGCCACCTTCATAATATCATGGCGTGGAGCCCTCAGAAGTGGTTGAGCTTGCAATTGGCAAATCTCCCTATGGATAGTAGTATAAGATTGTATCCTGCAATTGCATGCATAATTTCTTAGAAGAGGCAAGAACTGATAAGCAGCCTACTTTTACTGCCTTTCCAACAATTTGCTAGATTTCAGAAGCTAGCTAGGTTTTCAAAAAATGAGAGTTACGTACCTCATAAACAGATAAACAAGGGTTTGCTTCTTTAAGTTTCTCGGCTTGCTCTTTTATCTCATCACCGCAGCCACTTACGTTTAGTTTCAGCAGTGAAGCGGGGAGGTCCTCCTTGGACGGCAGTGATTCGATTCCATCACATCTCATGATCGAAAATTTCTCGAGAGAAGAAAGGCCATATAGCCGAGGGAGAGACTGCAGGTTGCACCTTAAAAATTCTAGACTTTTGAGGGAGGTGAGAAGATTAAGCGCTTGAGCTTGCTCTTCCGTGAAGGTTTCAGTCACGTTATCATAGCAGAACCCTAATGTGTGAAGGGTAGCGGCAAGGCGTCTGCAAATGGGAGCAATAAGCACTGCCAGGATGTTACCCACCCGCATTTCTTCCAGTTGGAATGAACCTGGGTGCAAATATTTGCTCATCGCCACCTCTGGGATCAGACCTGCAGCTACAGAGGTATTTTTTTCGTCCAAAGACTTGTCATGGGCTGCCAATTCCTCGAGGACGACTGGATTGAACCATTCTGCAGAGAATATGCTGGCGCCGTCGAATTCAAGTAGTTTTCTCAGGGAGTTCATCTTTTGGAGGTCTGACACTGACAATGAGACATGTGGTGATCCATCAATATCTATAGACTCTACTTTATCCATATTTTGGAAGGCCAAAGCACCATCATACCTATAAGCAGACAAACACTTTCCATCATACGTCAAACCTATGGTAAACCGGTTGTGCAGAGAAATGTCTGTTAGTGTAGAAGTATGAGGCAGAGAGGGGAACTGAGATAACTCTGGGCAATCAGCAATACGAAGTCGGCAAAGGTTGGTACAACACTGCAAGAAGGAAAACGAGGACAGAAGGGGGCAACACCAGCATTCAATGCTTTCAAGCCTTGAAAACAAAGGGCTATTGGGTCCCCCGACCCATTCCTCAAGTTCTGGCATATCCCCAATGATAACTGTCTTCAGGTGCATAAAACTTCTCTCTGTAAGACCAATAAATCCAGGCCCAAACACACGAATCCCAGCAATATTCTCCAGTTGGAGGTTGGTGAGGTGTGGTAACTGCTCAAAAGGTGGAAGAGTGCCCCAATATATACCATTCAGATGTAGAGACTCCAGCCTTTTTATGCTAATGTCACTGCACAACCAGCTAGGACCAGTGGCAAAACCATAATCTATAATGCCAAGCTTTCTAAGATTAGGGGGTGGTTGAAGACCCTCGAGAATATCACCATCTGTAATCTTTTGCCCTGCACCCCAAACTAATTCCAATTCTTTCAGATTTCTTTTATCCTTCAATTTAGCATCATTAGCTTCTTTTTTGGATGCCACGGTTTCAAGATTACATATAGCAAGCTGTCCTCCAAGCTCTGTCAATTCCCCCAGCTGGCTCAGTTCATATCCAACACTTTCTTTCTTAACATGAAATTCTCTTAGCTCCTGTAACCACTTCATCTTTCCAACCTCAGGGATACTGGAATGGAGTTCTTCCTCAGAATAAAGATGGCGTAAACTCATGAGAAGGCTAATGCTTTTAGGAAAGAAAATTATATAATAGTGCCAATCATAGAGGTCCAAGAATTTCAAAAGGTAAAATCTTGGTAATGTTCTAGGTGGATGCTTATTATATCTCTCATCACTAGGTGGTGTGAGTTTAAGGTATTGGAGGTGGATAAGATTTGAAAAGCTCTTTGGCAAATCTTTTGGAAAGCTAGGTATAAATAGAACCCGGAGACTCTTTATTCCTTCAAATGCATCTTTCAGAATAGTACATGTTTCTACATCATGTAATCCAAAAATCATCAAGCTATGCAGATTTCCAATGTCTATTACACTCTTGAGTTTACCTATTTCCTCTCCAAAACTTTTATCATATTTATCTCTTACAGTGATTGATAAGTGCCGAACAGATTGTGGCATGTCATTGGCTCTAAAACTTAAACTACTTATATTCACACACTCTTGTGATGAAACATGCCGAGATAGTTCATGCAATAAATCATGCATCACGTAGTATTCACCATTCATATCACTATCCTTTATGAGGAAACCATTGTCCACTAGTTCTTCTAAGTAATTCTTGTCATTTTGGCAATTTGAGTCTATAATACCCATTGTGATCCAGAAGTTAGTGATTTTTTCCAAATCATAAAACTTGTAATCTTCTGGGAAGAGGGCACAATAAAAAAAGCATTTCTGCAGATGGAAAGGAAGGTAGTTATAGCTGATTTGCAGAGATGGGAAAATATCATCGTCATTTTTTGCACTGTGCCATTCATTCTTTTCAAGAATTCCCATCCAGTATTGCCAACAGATGTTTTTCTTCAACAGCCGGCCAACTGTATTTGCTGCAAGTGGCGAACCCTTCAGTTTCTTTGCAATATCTCTTGCAACATTAACTAAGTCATCATCATAAAGCCTGGGTTTGTTATGAGCAAATATACATGCTTCGAACAATGCAAAGAAGTCATCAGGATCTAAACCATGCAGTTTTACTGGATCAGTTGTTTTGACCATTTGTTCTACAGATGGCAAACGGGTAGTGACAAGAACCATGCTGCCCTTGGTTTCCCCTATTGTGAGTGGGGCTAATAGGTTTTCCCAATCACGCTCGCTATTGCATGTCCACACATCATCCAACACAATTAAGAACCTCTTGGAGTCTAGTTTCTCTGCAATGGCTCTTTGAAGTTGATCTAAATTTGTTGTTTCATATGTGTTGGCATTAGTTCCAGATATGCAGCCAAGTATCTCCTTGGTGAGCCTGATCACATCAAAACTAGTTGAGACACATACCCAGACCCTGACAGGGAAGTGCCCCTTGATCCTTTCATCATTATACAGGTGCTGTGTGAAGGTTGTCTTTCCGATGCCCCCCGGGCCAACTAAAGGCAGAACAGAGAGGGTTTTATCATGGTATGTGCCACCGGTAAGTGCATTTACAGTTTGCTCAAAAATGTCATTCCTTCCATACAGTTTTCTATCTTGTGGAACTATGGAACCAGTTGGAGGCCTTTCAATGGTGGCATGTGTGCTTAATGCAATGCTACTGTGGTCTGCAGTTTTGACTTTGAGCAGGTCAGAGACAAGCAGGCATATGGAGTTCATCTCCTCTATGACAGACTTGATTTTCTTGGACATGGCTACTCTGTTGAATGACAACTTAATATCAACATCGCCATCATCATTACTAGCACCAGGCATGTCTTCACTACTGGTAGCAGCAGCAGCAGCAACAACTGCAGGAGGAGGATCATCACCTAGAGTGCGCGGAGATGAAAAGCACGGAAGGCAGTTGCCGAGGGTGTAGCGAGCAACATGGCGTCCATGGACCGAATGGCCCTTGATGCTGCCGCCCATCTCCGCAGCAGCCTCCTTGGTGCCATCGACCTCGTCCTGGATGGGTGAATCATGAAGCATTTTAGACAACGGCGCAGATCTCTGCACCAAGGTTACTACAGATCGATGCATTTTAGACTAGACTACAGTTACTACAGACCTGGATCATGAAGTAGTGGAGCTCATCGAGTACGTCCTCGGCCTCGTCGGCCTTCTTGCTCAACGTCCCCAGCAGTCCGCGCAGGCCAGGATCGTCGCCCACGTCCCTGCCCACGGATGCAGACAGCAGCCCCTGTGTGTACTGAAGCTGGTTCTTGGCGGTCAGGAAGTTGCTGCCGAGGTCGGAGCTGTCCATGTAGGCGGACACCAGCGGGTCGAACAGCTTGGTGAGCACCTTGCCGACGAGCCAGTTGGCCGCGCCGACGGCCATCTTCATCTCCATGGCAGTCGCTCAGCGGGGTGCTCCGGTGATTGAAATCGCCTTCGGTCAGTGGGAGCTTGGTGGTGGTGGTGGTGGTGGTGGTGGTGGTGGTAGAAGAGTGTTTGCAAATCTGGAAGAAGACTTGGTGGGTCGTCTTATGTCTGCAAGATCCATTGTATACAATATAAAACGGTTAAAGACACGCTGGTGCTCTACTCCAGGAGGAGGCATCCAATGAAGCGGAGTAAATTATGTGAGCCAACGCGCTTCGCTCTGAACCCAACGACTCCATGCTGCAACCACTGTTGCTTCATTGCGTACACACACATGCTCTATGCTTAAGTTATGGCAAGAAATATAGAAATAGTACACACCCTCATACGGCAGCAAATTAATACTCCCTCCGTCCCATAACATAAGAACGTTTTTCAATCTATGTTAGTTTGAAAAATGTTCTTATATTATAGGACGGAGGGAGTAGTATAGTAGGCGATTTAGTAAACAGAAAATGACTAACAGTAACATAACTTGAGCATACAGGATGTGCGGTAGAACGGGACATTAGTGTGGGTCAGGTAATTAAGGGAACCTGATAGTCAAAAGACACACACTACGTACTTGTAAAATGTAATTAAGGCTGTGTTCGGCAACCCTCCAATCCTCGGTCACGGAGCGGAGCGGGCGGAGCATCGTATTAGCCGCTCCATAAATTACAACTGGCTGCTGCTCCGGAATGGAGTTGCGGAGCCGGAGGGAGTTCGAACAGGCTCTATAAATGGCACCCATTGCGAGGAAATGTACACCTCCATCCTGACTGTGTGCAAGAACGACACGTGAAGGTGTCGGGGCGAGGCTGATGCGGTGGCAAGAGGTAAGCAGGATGACGCGTTTGCTACTTGAGCTTAGGAGGAACCCTAGCTAGGAGGGAGCAACCCACCAGACTGATGGCGAACAAAACTGATCCCAACTATTGAGTGACAAAATTTCAAGTATATATAAAAACATAAGCAAAGTGGATCCCTTGGTACACAAAGCAATCCTTGAAAATGAAGTGCTGTGACAGTCATCTATCTCTTATGCAGTTGGCAAACTCATACGACCGGTGCATGGTACGTCGATTCCAAAGCATTTCTATACCACCTGGTACGGTTTGAAGCGGTAACCTGATGAACTGCCAAGTCAATGGCAGAAGCTATCCAATGCACGATGAAGCCCGCCGAATCCTTCACAACCTTGACAAGAATTTGGTGAGCATGATGGTTCCTGCTCCTGCATTAGGTAAAAAATTCCTTCTGTGAGTTAGCACCATTGTCAGATATGACAGCATCGATAACAAGCAAACTATGAAGATTACCTGATAATTCCCACTTCAATCTACATGTACTCACTAATCAATTATAGTTAACCAAGAGTCTACCCTTTCAAGAAATGGAATGTCTTTTGGTAATAAACAGCCATATGACCACCATTGTAGAAATGGGACATCTTCTGGTAACAAATAGCTACATGACATTCAGAACTTCACCCAGGACAAGAGCCCACTGTGTCCAATGCGTTCCTCCCTGCATCAATACGTTTCAAGAGAGAAGAGCCATCAGTGCAAGGGTGGAGAAGGCGTACTTGATGGCTCAGGCTCTCTCAACCTTAGTCTTAGTGACCGTTAGAGTCTGTCGTGCATTAGCACAAATGATCAGGATGCAAGGATGTCAATTCTCATACTGACCTGACAAAAGACAGCATATGGATCTCTTAAGGGCCCATCACATGATAGCTCGCTTGTGCTTCCATCCATGAATGTCCCGTCAGCAAAGATGACCTGATTCAAGTGAACTAATCGCTCTTGCATCAAAGCAAAGATGGAAACTATGCAGAATTGAAGATAGCAAAAATATAGTTTTGGGGGAAAAATTTAATCCAGTTCGAGCAAAATAGTAAATAAATGGAATAAACTGCCCTCAAATATATTATTCAAAAAACAGCTAAAAAACAAACAGAAATTTATAGAGCAGGGTATACAAACACACCTCTGAAGCATAACCCGGAGTTTCCCCAGCGGTTGGCTTAATAAACGATACTACTGGGCAAGTCTGTTGAACAACTTCACAGAATGCTATGAGTCTCTCCCTGTTGCCAAGCTCTACTGCCTGAAAGCAAAATAGCCAATATAGTTATTTCATTGGTCTTAAAAAATGCCGTGACATGGTAGCACTGACAGGCACAGAGTCAAATGATTTAAAGAGACCGCTTGACCTTCTGTCAAGATCAAACTTTGAATTAGATGGTTTCTGCAGCCAGGCGTTCTCCACAAATAAAACGTTGGAAGAATGTCACCATTTAATCAGTCTCTTAATCTACTCTATTAATAATGTTTATTTTCTGAAATATGTTTCCCTACATTAGCTTTCTGAATATGTGACGCAGCGCAGTAGCTATGCTGATTTACCAAAAATCAATTAAAAGCTAAAGTGTTTTCAGACTGTCACATCTTGTTCGTGTGGACACTCATGTTCCTAGTGAATTATTGCGAAATATTCTGTTCATACTAATTAATGTTGAACTTAAATCAACCTGCACAATATCATGGCGTGGTGCCCTCGGAAGTGGTTGAACTCTATAGCCCTTGGCTGACATGACCTCTGCAATTAGCAAACCCCCCTGTGGAAAGTATAAGATTGTCACTTGCAATTGCATGCATAATTTTCCGAAAGAGGCAAAGAATGATAAGCAAACCACTTTTACTGCCTCTCCAACCATTTGCGGAGCAAGAAACAAGCCCTGAAACATCGCTCGCATAACATGTCCAGGTGCTGACCCAAACTCCACCCCAAGTCCGGGTGCGGATAGGCGAGCTGCAGCTGCGGCAACCAAATCTTTCTTCCCAGCAACGTAGCCACCACAAGGTGCGATGGTACCACCAGGGTTCTTTATCAAGCTGCCGGCAATCAGATCTGCTCCCTGTCATGCAAATGCCCAATTAAGTAAGACTGCTCTGTTATTCCTATGATGTTGACCATTGTGAACATACCACCATTGGAGGCTCCGATGTCTCAACGAATTCACCGTAGCAGTTGTCAACCATAACCTTGCAGTTTGGATTTTGCATCTGAAGTGAGTCCCAAAACA